CAATATTATTTCAGTTCTGGGACGTTTTTATCTAGTTTCAGAAGTTCTTATGAACTTCGTTGAATATATATTTATAATTATATTTTTATATGAATTACATATTGTTTTGCCCTCCTTCACTTGTAGGTAGGTGTAATTATAAAAATACTATTTGAGCTATTGAAGAATAAAATCTCTTATTTCTATTTGCCTTTAAAGTAACTGAAAATTTTAAAAGACTTCTTAATAAAAAAAGAAATTTATATATTATTTAAAAAGAAAAAAATAACAAAAATTCATAAAAATTTTAAATACTATTTAGTGGATTAAATTAGTATTAAATGAAAAATTCAAGATAGAAAATATGAGGATAAGGGGACTCTAACCCATGATCCTTCTACCACTGAGGATATTTTACGTCGGCACTGTGGTCGGTACGAGCCAGGTGCGGAATTCGTATCGACCAACCATCACTGGGATTCGAACAAGGTTCACCTCATTGGGAGGCGAACGCTCTATCCCCTGAGCTATCTTATTTATCCTTATATATTTACATAGTCACTAAATATTCATAATATGTAAAGTAATAGAGAACATTTTGCTTTTTTTATATAATAATGCAGTGCACGCCAGTAAATTGCGGAATGAATAACGGTGAAAAAAAATAATGCACAAGGTTATTTTTTTCTACCTTCTTTTCGTACCTTCATACTCTAATTTACACATCAGCATCTGCCTTTGTTTAATTTAAAAGATTTTTTTCTAAAAACTTTACATTTAGAACAATTGATTATTTCCGATATACCAAAAACTCGTTTAATTCAGATTAATTCGAAAATTATCCTCCAAGATCCAATGAATGATTACTTGTTTTGATTGATGTTTTGTCTGTACTGTCTTACGCTCGGATTGTCTTACACTCGTTTTAACAAGGCATTTAAAAATTTGAATAAGTAATTAAGTGTGCATTACCGCCTACAGCTTGGCTATTGAAATTTTTTTCAAAAACATTAGTTTAAAGACGTTTTAACAGTTATTTATTAATAAACTAATTTATTTATTTATTTACTTTTGAAAAAACAAACTAATTTATTTATTTGTTAATGTTTTGAAAGAATAAACTGTTTATTTAATGAAAAGTACCTTTTTAACGATTTGTTAATTTTAAGAATAAATCAAAGTGAGTTTTAAGTTATGCTCTATAAAAATTAATCACCATTATAACTAGAGCCCGGATTTTGATGACCTAAAAAATCTCAACTAATGCCCTTAAAAAGTGCAAAAAATGCCCTTAAAAAGTGCAAAAAATTCCCTTAAAAAGAGCAAAAAATGCCCTTAAAAATGCAAAAATTGCGCAAAAAATGCCTTAAATAAAGTAAAAATATTGAATTAAAAAAATGTTTTGCTCTTTAAAATTATTATGAGTCATTTAAAAGATATAAAGCAATGCAATACTTGTTCTACGCTCATTAAAGTTTGNCAAACAAATATAAATTTAATTAATTAATTAATTTATTTATTTATGTACTATTGAAAAAACAAACTAATTTATTTATTTGTTAATTTTTTGAAAGAATAAACTATTTATTTAATGAAAAGTACCTTTTTAACGATTTGTTAGTTTTAAGAATAAATCAAAGTGAGTTTTAAGTTATGCTCTATAAAAATTAATCACTATTATAACATATATATTTTGCCCTGATCAAGTTTATTACGTATCAGAAACAAATCAACAAAAATACCTTTTTAACAATTTGTTAATTTTAAGAACAAATCAAAGTGAGTTTTAAGTTATGCTCTATAAAAATTAATCACCATTATAACATATATATTTTGCCCTGATCAAGTTTATTACGTATCTGAAACAAATCAACAAAAATAACTTTTTAACGATTTGTTAATAGAAAAAAAAACTAAGTGAATGGTATGCTCTGTGAGAAATATTTACAAATACAAAAGATATATTTTGCCTTTGATAAAGCTTATAAAGTATCAGATATAAATCCACAAAAAAAGAATTAAATACGCAAATAAGTATTTTTTGTCTCTTTTGCAAAACAACAATTTTGTAACTCGACTTCGGAATAATGTAACATAATAAAAAACAATAATAATTTTCCTCTCAGAAATAATCTCATTCAATTCATTTCCGGTGATGGATAAAACGTATTTCCGTTTAATTATATTCTTCATCCGTTACGTTAAATTTTTACTTGCTTATTTATTTTAGCAATGATAATAAATTGAATGGCATGCAATTACTCACATTGTAACATTATTTTATTGTCTATGTGTTCACTGTGAAATTAGTATATAGAATAATTCATTTATGATTTAGGAAGAAACAAAATGTTAAATATAACATAACGATTTTGTTAAATAATAGAATGAGAATGTGAGAATATATGATATAATGCATTACAGAGTACCGTGATAAGGAAAATCAACCCATTTTTTGTTTGTACTTAATGTTTCACACAGGATGTTTATGAACTGAAAATCAAAAGAATTTTTTATAAGTACTTTCACGTTTTTGACGAGATTGTATTTTATTTTATTTTATAACCTTCGTCGAACAGCCGACTCAATTTTCGAGTTTACGACTACAGGGTGCGTAGCCAAATAATTCAACAAAAAATAAGCACCTTTTAAGCACTTTCCAAGCACTCAAAAAATAGTTTTAAGCACTTTAAAAAAATATCATAATTAGACAAGGTTGGAAAGTTTTTGACAAATGACGGTTTTATCTTGTTTTAACCGTCATGTCGAGAAAAAAAAACATTTTGGCATTGTTTTTGACAATTGTCAAAAATCATGAAATTTTAAATCATTTAAACGAATGGCGTTTTCATACGCTACGGACTGACAATACGCAGAAGTAGATTTATTGGGTTTGAATTCATTGTGAAAACGTTGAATGTGAACTGTGTCTTTTTACATAATTTGTAGTGAAAATCAACATGGTGAAGGAAAAATCTCAGTTTGAAAAAAAGAAAATTAAGCAATTTTTAAAAACACCCAATGAAAAAAGTGACTTTTAAAAAACGAAAATCGAAAATAAGTATATTTAAGAGCTTTTTAAAAACGTTACGCACCCTGGACTTCAATGGTCAACTCCGTAACTCTGTAATTTTCAACCCAATCCAGAAGACAAGGGAACTCTTGGATCAAATAATAGGGAAAACTAGCCTTTGTAAAAGACTTTTTTGGTTCTCTTAGGACTAGCTGGGGTTTGTGTTACATGGAGAAGAAAACCACGAAAACTTACTGTGGTTAGCCCGATGGCAAGGAAATTGTAACCCTGATCGGTGTGTCGCTGAGGATATTTTACATCACTTTGGTTGGTGCAAGCTGGGAGTAGAACTCATATTAACCAACTGTCGCTGGGATAGGAACGTGGATCACCTCTTGGGAGGTGCCATACCGAGTTACGACGGATCTACGTCAAATATTATTTTTTATTACCACGGTTGAATTGCCAATCCAATTTTTCTTTTATTATTAAATCCTAGAATCTTTCTCAACACACTGTAATTACAAGTTTTTAAATCTTAAATTTTGAGCAGCAAATCAAAATTTAACGTAAAACAGGGGTGATTGTGAGCCCAACTCAAAAATCCTGAAAATTTCTTAAGTACAATCATTAATGAGGGATATCAAATAATTAATGTCTTTATAAATTTAAAGCATTGATATTTTCACAACATGAAATTCTAATTAAATTAAAAGCAGCATATTTTAAATTAATAATTATATATAAGTTTATTTTTATCTCGAATAACCCTTATTATTCTACCAGAAAAACTATTTACAAATGAATGAGATGCCAACTGCAAATTCTAGTTCTAATATTTTTAAATAAAATATGTAAGAATTTTTATACATAAATGTGATCGATGATTTCTTGAAACTTCTGGACTTTGGATTTCCGGATGGCGGTTAGCGGAAAATCCGGATTTTTTTCAGTTGCACAATCCTCTCTGCGTAAAACAAAAATAACAGCGAAAATAATCGGTAACATTTAAAAAAAAAATTACGGTATACGGATAAATTAACGGTACCATTTGAACAAATTTTAATTTCCAGGAAGAAAAAAAATATGAATTAGATTTATAAACAAATATGGACCCATTCAGCATGCAAGTTAAACTCTGAAATTGCATTTCTGCGGTCTGTAGAGCAACCTATATGATATTTTTTCCAGACAAGTTTAGCAGTTAATAAATTATTCGAATGTTCGTTTTTTTATTCCATCTTAATCCCTACACACTTTCCTAAACACCTAAGTAATTTAGAGTATATTTGTTTTACAGTTTTTTTTCTAGTTTTACAGTTTTCGCGCAGTAAAACAAAATGCAAAATTAAAGTAAACCCCCAAAATAGGGACGGCTATCTTTTAAGAGTTTTTAATATTTTTTGACACTCGAATTAAAGTAACCATAATGCGAAACAATGTCTAACATAATTAAAACTACCTGATAAGCATACTGTCATATTTGTTGTTTAAGCACATTATCGCAGTAACAATGAAAATAATTATTTGGGGCTTTGATTTTTGAATTTAATGGTGATATTAAACTATCACAGTAACGATCCCAGTAACTATCACAGTAATAAGTAAACACTGTTATCATAATAGTAATTTAATCGAAGCATTGTTTAAAAATGAATAAATCGAAATTAGTATGGATAGATCGAAATTAGCAATAGGAATTTTAGAAACGGGTGAACTAACCGTGAATCTTGCATTTAATCATTCTTCACCAATGATCCACAGAAAAAATTTACCTATTACATTGACGGGTTACTCACAAATTTATCAAGTTCTTCGTGGAATAAATTTTTAAAATTTAATTTACCATCCAGTATCTAGGTTTATCAATAGATGGATCACTTTTTTCCAGTAAGAAATATTTTAACAAACCGTTGAGAAAAAAGTCTCACTAATTTCTTCTAGTAAAAGACATGATTTCAGAAACAAATTTTTTTGAGGAATACGAAAATAAAACGAAAAATCTTACCTTTAAAGAATATCGCACTTGATAATAAGCATTTTCATGTCATCGCAAACACTTTTTCCAGCACTTTTTATCTGCAAAAAAAAGATATGCAATGTTGAGAAACATTAACTATAAAAATGCTAAATTGATACACTTGAAATCCTAAGAACGTTTTATGTATTTGGATTTTAGTTTGATTTTTAATTTGATTTCAAACTAGTTATTAAATGCAAAATAATCCAAATTATTCTTAAGTTACGCTAGCAACAAAAATAAAAAAAATCATACTCTCTCGGTGTACGTATGGAAATTGGATACCAGCAAGTGACGTAGTGTGGGTATCTCGATCCTGATTGGTTGATGAAACGTGGCAGTTGTTTATGTTATCAGCTGTTCTTCCAATTCTATTTCGAGTAAGCCACGCCCGACAAGTATAAATTCTCCTAAGTGACACATTCTAATTGCTTTCACAAAAATTTCAATTATTTTCCAATCTTTTTCTTAACACAAAGACAGGCACACAAAGAAGCCTTGTAGAAATTGTAGAACATAAACAAACTAATTATGTATTGAAGTTGCCAGGTACACAAACTACAATATATCACAGTTACGATAAAATACTTAAACAAATAATAAATCTAAATTAAGTAAATGACGTAGATGAGAAAGAAATATATATTAACAAACTCGATGCGCGTCACGGCGTTGTATTTAGTTAACTTCACGTTAATTAACAATCTAACTTATGTAGAGAAACTTAGCTGGACTTAACACGCCATCTTGTTTATATACAATCAGCTTGCGCTGAGATCATAAGTCACGTGTCTGGGTATCAGTGATCGTCTTTTTCTTGAGTTGCAAGTACCCAGTTGTAAACAAAAAATATTTTTAAAAAATATTAATTTTTAAATAACACTCAAAAGTTTATATACTTATTAAAAATGCTCACTCAAAAAATAAACGGAAAATCTGGGTTTTAAAATTATATAATAAAATTGTAGTAAAATATGCTGCACTAAATATCCTAAGCATTCAGTCAAAAAAACAAATTTGCTGAAACACAGGTACAAAAATATAACGTGTGATTGATATACGCAGAAATTTAACAGCTGATGAATTGCGCTTTTTAAACAGTTGCTGAATATTATTAAAATATTTGCATACTGTTATGTTACAGCAATATACATTTTATGCAATAATAAAAACTTGAGGGAACTTTAAAAAACGATTCAGACACCATAAGATTTATACACAAGCGGATAAATTTTTCGAATGAAAGCGTTAAAAGTAGTTTAATTCCCAAGTTAAGTAAATAGTGGGAATTATATGAGACAGATATCAATTATGAGAGCTGAGATATCTATTACAAAACAGTCATTAATAAATACATAGTCAAATTAAAATATTAATAAAATTGTTAGCATACCCATGGTACATTAATGTTACTCATAGTTTTATTCATAACGATGATTAATTTCAAGGCTTCTACTTCCTGATAAAAATAAAATGGAATAATGAGACCGCTGTAAGACCCTGAACTTAACAATCCATGACTTCAAACTATTTTTACCAGAACAAAAAGGTGCATGTAGCAGATGTAACGTATAGTCACGTAACTATGATGCAAGTCATGAAAAGAATCCGATCAGCACGAAAGGTCATTCTTTTTTATAAAACACTTTAAACTTCCATGAAAATTGACTTCAGTTGGGTTTAGGGAGCTAAATTCTTCGACATAAGAAAATATTGTTTTGGAATGAAAATGTAGTCTGAGGTGTTTTAATAATTGGGTAAAAATTAAAATGAGATAATTCACTACACTATTACAAATTTCTCGGTAAAAATTATTAAATAGCAACTTATTTAATTGTTATTATACCATATTCTACTAAAACGGTCAAATAACTATAAAAAAAGATAATATTTAAACTGTTAAGAGTGGGGAAAACGTGTACTGATTGTTTTTACCTATACAGTTTAAAAACGTTTATTAATTGTTTTTACCTAACACTGTGCTCTATCCTCGCCAACTAGGCCCACTTTATGAAGCCATTTTGTCCGTGCAGCGGAGTATATACTGTAGAGGGCGAATTGGTCAATCTCATGACTGGCTGAACAGGGGTTCGAATCCTAGAGTTGATACTACAATATTTTTTTTATTCCTTCGATACATGAATAGTTTCTAGTATCCTACACTCACCAGTCAGTGACTTCACTATTAAAATGTGAAACTATCATCCACGCATAAATGGCGCTCACACAAAGCTCCAATGTCCGTTCAGGTTTTATTTTTATGGTTTAGAAATTATGCTTGTTGTAAATTGTTACAAAACTGTATAGTTTTGCATTCACGATTTTTTAACCGTAGCAGTTGTAAATAGTTTCAAAACCGTTAAGTTGAAGAAATGTTCCTAACCGTGAACATTATGGTTAATCAGATGGACAGTCTGTTGTCGGTTATTTTACCGTAACTTCAGAATGAAAATTTTAACAGAGTGGTATAACTTTTAAAAAAAAATTTAAAAAATTTAAAAAAAAGTAATAAGCTTGTTTAGTACCATTTTCTGTCCACGAAGAATAAAAAAAGGAACATTCCGGATAATTTAAAATTTAATAATCGGATCTAACACATATTAAAGGACCGCACTAAATTATCGCACTAAAAAAACAAGTTAGAAGTTTCATACGGCCGTACTAAAGGGCCGCATGAAAATTCTAACAGCGTAGTATCACTTTAGAAAGGAAGAAAAAAGCAATACGCGAGTTTGGTACAATTTTCTGCCCACGAAAAATAAAAACGGAGCACCTTGGATAATTTAAAATTTAACAATCGGATCTAAGCACATTAACGTACCAGAGGACCGCACCTAATAGGTGTCACGCTTTTTTTTTTTCTAAATATTTTTGACTAGGTGTCACAATTAGCCCTCCCACTTTACCGTTCCTTCTCACATGTCATATATTTAAATATATACTAGAAGTTCAGGCTTAAACCACTTGCTATAGATCATATTTTAATTGTTTGTTAACTTTTAACTATGTATTTTACTGACGCTTTTAAGCATAGCTATATTAATGATTGCATTTGTTTTCTTATGTTGATGAAAAATAGTATGAAAATATGTAAAAAAATATATAACTGATGATTTTAAATGTTTTTATCTGAACAAAAAATATGTGTTGTGACACTTCTTGTTAGCCCCTCTATCCCTCTCTTCACAATTTCATCAAGCCCTCTCGAAAAATAACATCATTTGTAGAGGGTCCTTAGGGGCTAGGAGGTAGACCAGTTAGTACAGACATTGTTTAAGTTTCAAAATCAGGCATAAAAATGCACTTTCTCTAAGGAAACATTTTTCCCCCGAGAGATTCAGACTTTTTACTCTCACTAAGAAGCTCTACCCCGGCTCGCTCCGCTCACCTACCCACGTAATTGCTTCTTATTCATCGTTACTTTTTTCCCCTTAAACGTCAAGATTTTCCACAAAGCACAGAACATATTGTTAAATTATCAAATTATACTAAATACAGCTTTATGTAAGTACATTTTGATAACATGCTAATCGTAATGAAATAGACGATTACCTAGATTTGAAAAATAATCATCTGAAAAAATTAACCTAAAAAATACTGATTGTGTGACTAATGTAGTCGTTTTTTCTCTGTTTTCTTTTCCTTTTTGTTCCTTTAATTAAAGTCGACTAAAGAACGAGCTTGTACCATAAAGGAATAAAAATCAGGTGTGGGGAAAATAAATATTATACAACTATGAATGATTAGTCGACATTCAAAGAAAAAAACAGGAAAAAAAATCACGAAAATACTTTTAATCCCAATAACTTAAGTTTGCAATTCCAGTAACAAAATGGAATTTCAAAACAAAATTCGCATTTAGTTCACAAATAAAAATGACTCTCTAAGCAAGGCAAATTTTAATCCCGTGGTTGCATTTTAGCTGGCAACACAGCGAACAAGGATGGTATTTTTCCCTAGAAGTTTAGCGGAATTCTCGAATTATTTGACGAATCTTACATTTTTTCACTTAAATACCCCGCTACTTTTTTCTACATACCTTCGTAATTTCAACTTTCTAAATGTTACAGATTTTGAAAATTACGATAACTTTCGGGCATGTTAAAGTTTCGAAGAAGAAAAAAAAACCCGGGTTAAATTCATAAAAATTATGGCTCTTTGAGAATACCAAATTTCAATTGCCTAGTTGCATTCCCACAGCTCGTAGCGGCCTGTTTGGTAATTTTTATTATAAGTTTAACAGTTAATAATTCTCGAACCGAACATCGAATGTTAATTTTTTTTCCATCCTTATCCCGTCAAACATTTCTATAAGCCTTATTTTTTCTTATTTTATTTTATTACTGTCGTTGAACAGCCGACCTAATTTTGCGTTTACGGCTAATAAATGTTCAAATCTGTAGCCTTGCAATTTTGAACCCAATCCAGAAGACAAGGGAACTTTTGGATCAAGTATTGGGAGAAATTCGCCTTTGCCTGACGGCAGGGGAACCTAACCCATGATCCGTCTACTACTGAGGATATTTTACGTAAGCACAGTGGTCGGTGCGAGCCGGGTCCTGAATTTCTTTTGACCAACCATCGCTGGGATTCGAACCCGGTTCACTTTATTGGAAGGCGAACGCTTTATCCCCATGGAAGGCTTACCGTTTTTGTGCAGTAAAACAAAAGACAACGTTAAGATGACGATTTTTTAATATAGGGAGATAAACTAATGGATCCAAATAAGTTCGTAATGTCATGTCATTTATTTCAATTGATCACTTAACAAATTTTTTCAGTAAAGCCTTTTTTGAAAAAAGTCAGCAATTCTTTTTACAAGGTTGTCGCGGATTTCATAAATTAATAATAGTTGCATTAAACTTAACTCTGCTCTCGTTTAGATGGAGTTTTTTAATATTTGATTAATTTATTAAATATCTTGTACGTAATAGCCCTTAATAAATGTTTTTTACAAGTTTTAAATAATGAAGTGGAGAGTGGGATCAATTGTAACATTTTTACTTAACTATTTTTAACCAACAAAAAATCCAATATATTATTAGTATTAATTGACAGA